TTATACTATATTAAAAAATTTTCAAAAGCCGCCACCCCTTCCACATGCTGGTGCCGTCCGTCTCCAACCTTGCATATATTCTTCGTCAAGAGACGTGTCGTGTTGGGGAAAAAATGTATAAAAACTACAAAGTAAGAGCTGATCAGATCGATGCAGCGTTTTTTCTGCACTTTCTTTCTTCGGTCAAGATCATTGCCTTCTTTCCTCCACATACAAGATATGTCATTTCAAGGCAATCTCTATGGGAACTTCGGTCTGCCACCGATGTATATAGATTGTGCCCTAATTTGCGTTTTTGTCATGTATTTGTCAAGAGTAGGCTAGAAATTTTTGAAAATTTATATTTTGAAAAATTAAATCTTGATTAAGGTAAGGAATACATTTCTTTTTTAACTTAAAATCAATTATTACTAAAAAAAAAATTTATTGTATTTAACTAATATATTTTTTATTAATATCTTTTTTATTAATTTAATAGTGTGAGATTTTTCTGTTTAACATATTCTCGCACTTATTAAGCATTTAGTCATGTTTTGTAGATTTCTAACTAATTGACAAACAAGCTTAATAAATCCTTTCGCCGTGCAATCCAAATTATATCTCATACTGTGAAAATTAGACATATAAAATTCAAATTTCAATAAAATATTTACATCCAACATAAGACACAATAGGTTCCTACAAAGCTACAACTCACTGGATGATTTGCATTTTGTTATCAAGTACAACGGCCTTGGAAAGTAATTTACATCAGCAACCATGTTATACGGGGTAATTATTCAGTCTCGTCTTTTCCGGCCAAGAGCAACGAACCTTCCTTTTCTTAACTTTATATCATCCACACAAAATTTTTCCCCCCCAAAAGTCATCGTCAATTAGTGATCGTAAGTTACGGAGAAGAAGTGGCATTGCTTCCGATAAAAATGGTACTCAATTGGAGGTGAATAAAGTAAGCGTAATTCATGTCTTTTTAAGGTATATTGTGTATTAAAAATATAATTTATTTTATAA